TAATATTATTTAAAAAGAAATCTTAATGCTACATGTAATTAAAACTGGTCGTCATCGGAAACATCGAGAACATAAACGTAGTCCTCATCGTCACTGGAATCCTCATCGTCAGCTGCTTGATTTTGTACGGCAGCATTTTGATTCTGTGGTCTCAATAGTTGCGGATGAATGTCCAATCCCAACACCGTACAAAGACCTAAAAACAAAATCGTAAACAACAAATTGTTAGCCAAAACATTCTTAAACATTTTTAATTTCAGTGATATTTTTTCACCTTTGTACATGATGTTCTTGGCTGCAACGATATCCCGGTGCCAAACAGTTTTCAATTGAAATGGAGCTCGATCATCTTTCCAAATGCCAGTGTTTAGTTGCCAGTTTTTGAAACATACTTGAAGTTTTGACACTAAACCATCTGAATCCATTGGAATATGATCTGGGTTGGCTGCATTCAATCGATTAACAAAATCAACTGCATATTTACGCAATTGTTGGTACACTCGGTTGCTTTTCATGGTGATAATCACGTTCGGTAAATTCCATTGCGATGACTCATCTTCACTTGGAATACAATGCTGACAAACTTTGTATCGATCGCTTTTGGTTCGTCGATCGAATGGCCGGAAACATTTTGCACAAGTTTGCGATGTATTGTATTCGTCGACCAATCGTACAATACAATTTCCCAACTTCTTGAAACTGTTCAATAGTCGTCGTAATCCCGGGCATCGCAATCGCTTTTTAATACCAATTGGTGAGTTTGGAGCTATTTGAGCTGCACCAATAAAAACGAGCGCCGACTTTTTTTTCGTCAGTGATGCCGCGATTTTGTCACTGGCCCGATTCTCTTCGATGTATTTATCAAGACGGAGTCGAATAAACTTTCTTGTTGTGTACACCGCCATAGCTGGTTTCATCATTTTCACATAATAAGCGATGTAACACATCCAATGTGAACGTCCTTTCGGCGATGGAAAAAATGCATAGCGTTTATAGTCGAGCTCCCGTTGTTTTTGCAACAATTCAGTCCATTGATCGGATTTACGCTTGCGTTTGCCATATTTCGCTTTGAAATGGTATTTTGGACCATCAATTGTGATGTTTTCCTGAGATTTACGAACAAAAAATCATAGAAGTAAACAAATGATAAATAAAGAATGAATTTATTGTTTCTTACCTCGTTGCCGGATCGAACGTGTTTGCGAACGGTGGCGTTCCATGTACGAACTCCTGGATCGATTCCAAGCACATAATCAAACTCAAAATTATTGTACTTCTCTTTGATGGTGTTGTTATCAAGTTCTGGTGTATTGCGTTCAGGCTTCACGAAACATAACGAAACTGCCACACTATCGGTTGCCACAGCAAAATCGAATTCCTTACCATTTCCAAGTTTCGAAATTTTTGGCAGGTCAAATATTAAATCCCAATAGATAGCTGGATTGCTATCGTATTCAGTTTTTTCAATGTTTATTGGCTGACCGCGTTTTCCTTTTGCCAATTTCAATGCTCCAAATTTGCGCGCAATCAAATAAAAAAGATGGATATCGATGCGGATATGTTTCATATCGAAATCGTGGATTGGAACTACTAAAAAATTCTTTATTTTTGGCGGGAGTGGAGTGGTCGGCATGACATTGTTGTTCGGATCGCGTCGATATTGGAACCAGCGTTGTTTCAACATTTCATATTTCGCGTGAAAATCGAAAATTTGTCGCTGAATGTTTATAAATATTGGAATGCTTTGGAACCAGCGATCACGAATGAGATTCTGAAAGTGTACATTGATTGGCAATCCAATGCCTGCTGCTTCGTTTAATAGAAGATCGATGTTCGCGTTTCTCTCGACTCTACTCTGGAACATTACGATCTTCGTCGCACGTTTTACATCCAATTCAGTGATGAGATTTCCTTGTCGATTCAAATTCAGTTCGTAGCGCCTTAGCGTGAAAAATTTCTTGATGCGACTGAATGCCCATACTCTGATGTTATTTTTCACGTTTGTTATGTACTGAGTGATGAGATGATTGAATGCATTCCCCATGCCCTCGCGAGCTGGCCAATTTTCTGGACAAAGAAAATCAGGACATGCTTGCTCCACAGTTCGTCGAAATGCAAGCGGTAATTTGTGGTAATTTTCTTGTAATACCGAGGTGAAACATTCACCAATTACACCATTCACGTATTTATTGAATTCATCATTCGTGTATTCATCGGATTCGCCTTTAAAAAATCGAACATTTTCATCGTCAAAGGCTTTGTTTGCTTTGAACAAAAACAGTAATGACGCCAGAGTCGTAATCATTGTGGCCGAAAGGCACCAGTATGTGACCTGATCGATGAATGGTGCACGATACTCTTCCCGCAGCACTTGATTTAGAGTCATCTTCAACGACGTACTGCGCCCATTCTTGGCTCTCTTTCTTCTCATCGTGACAGATCTATTGTACAAAAATTGAAGAAAAAAATACACCAAATATAGCGTAGATCACAAACACAATAAGATATAAACACTTCTATCACAAATTAAATGAAACAGTAATGAAGAACGCATTATAAATATCACCTCTTACCTCAACAAAGTGACTCTGTATTCTAAATCGAATGATGAAATTTATTTCCAATGTGACATCAAATATTTTGCCGATCGAAATGTTGTTGGAATATTCACAGTTAATTTTATCAACACTCTGTTATTTCGAAATTAAAACAAAGACAGTCACAAAACCAACTGTGAATATATCCATTCCACAGGGAACAGCATTCTGAACACACAAAATCGTTTTTGAAATGACAATAAAACCAATTGATCGCCCAAACCACGCTTCAAACACTCATATAATTCTCAAGAAATCCTGTTGAAAACAAAACAAAGTTTTATTGTAAACAAAATCGGTTGGTGCAAAAGTTGTTTATACTAACTACTGGATTTGGTTTGACACATATACACCGCGCGGATAGAAAAATGTCAGATAGATGTCAGTTGCATTTCGAAAATTCAAAATAATAATTCCACAAATAAAGAAAAATAAATTTAATGAATGACTAGTAAAAGAGTTCTTCTGCAGAGTTTTATTTATTTCTTTCCGAATAAATTGTTTATTTTTTTATTTGAGCGTAAGATTTGTATTTTCAATATAAAACTTAATGTATTGGGTTGTGTTCACATTATGTTGTCAAATGAAATATTATTGGAAGTGAAAGAAACAAGTGGATCCATTCCATTGGAATTCGTGGAAACTATGCATATAATCTCCGTTCCATTTAACACGAAAATGACCACCAGAATGGTTCAAAACGTTACATTTTTCAACGTTAGAATGTACTAAAAACATTACAAATTTGTTTGCAAATATATAAACAAAAAAAATTATTTGAAAATCTTCAGTGTATTATATTTTTTTTGGAGCTGCAGTTAGAATTGGTGCTTTCAACCCATAGCTTACCGGAATTTTGTGAAAATATGCAAAGAAAAAAATTTCAGGAAGAAAGAAAATTTGACAAGCCTACTGGGAATCATCTCTCGCAAAATTTATCAAGTAAATGTAAGTAAATCACTATCTTGTAGCGTCCGTTGAAAATGAATCACAGATTCGTACGACAAAAAACATGACTCGAATGTTTCGTCTCACTCGAAACACAGTTCACGCGTTCGTAATTCACTCCAAATTGTAAATAACAGACAAACGTCAAGTACACTCAAATTATCTCGTGTCTGTCGTACAATGATAATTAAGCGTGTCAAAATACAATAATATTCCATTGAGTGAATTTACTAAATAATTTTTGTCGCTTGAATTTGGTACATGTGTGTTGTTTATTCATCTCATCTTAAATAACATTGAAATTAACTGACCTATGAAAACTGCCACTGATTACGTTATAAACATGTAGATTTTGTTTTTTTTTTTTTGTTTTACAACAATCCGTAACCGCATGTATTATCAACGGATTTAATTGGTATTATTCGATCTACTTTGTTTTTATTTTGATTTTCAAAGTTTCGAACTTTTGTCAAGAGTAAACAATTTTTGATGCATGTTATTTATTATTTGATTGAAAAAATCCGTATTACGTAAGAAAACATCAACCTGTTGAATATCTTACGATGAGAAAAATTACAGCTCAACGTTGGAAAATAATAATTCATTTCAAAAATAATATGAAGCAAGCCGTTCAAATTTCGATTAAATTGATTTCGGAGAATCGAACATGTATGAGTTCTTTACAAAAAGTGTATGTTGCAACAACTATTTCATTTGGTAATTTCAGTTTTATTATTCGTATGGTTTTAGTTAGTGTGATATAAACTTAACCATAGGAAAATCAATTTTTATCTACTTTACTGAGGAAATATTTTAGCTCAGATAGAAAGGCAATGTTTCACACTTGTTGGATTCTCAATCCAATATACAGTAAAAACTTTCTATTACCCGAATCTCATACTTTTTTGCTATTGGGGGTTTTCGTTATTAGGAGATAATGACTTCGCATTGCTTTCGATGTTTCGATAATTGAAAAATGCAAAATTCTATTTTCAGTCAAATTTAATCAAAATTATTGTATAAAATGTTGCTGTGTATAGATAAATTAATTTTCCTCGAATCAATAGAAATGATTTTAAATTTATCAAATTAAAAAAATCGGCTAAAAAACCGATAATACTATAGTATATTCCGCCGGAGGTTATTTAATACTCTTACCAGCGAAAAAAGATCCACTATTCGCAGGTTTTCAGTTATAAAGAGGTAAATAAAAAATAATTTGATTGAATGCAAACGTTCGGTATTTGTATATCATCTTTTGTAAATCGTGCAGAGAACATGATCTTTTGATTCAAAATAAACTAAACTGCGCCGTTGATTCTTTAAAAAATAATTTATTAAAATATTTGTACATTATTTGAGGTTATTCATCTACTGTAAAAAAAAGTATATAATAGTAAAGAGTTGAATTTGAGTCTTTGAAAGATTTCAAGAAAAATATTTTTCAAAGTAATCCTAACATTATTTTGGTCCTTCAAGTGTGTATATTTCAGCAAAACTCATTAAATTGTCCATTGTTGAATCTTTTCCCACTGATCGAACATCTATGAATAGAGTCGACTAAAAGCGGGTATATATTTACCGCCGCAGAAATGTGATTCTTCTTCGATGCACCGACCGTCCAAACGTATGAATCCTCCCTTACAAATGCATTTATTGTAGCACTTTTGGTCATGCAACTTGGGCGGACATTTTGGAGTTCGTGAATTATTGCACTGTTGCTCACATTGCGGTCCACACTTACTATACTCTTCATTCTCGTCACGACATTTTACTAAAATAAAAATAAACAAATAAACAATATAAATTATTTAATTCTTTCGAAAAGTATACTGTTTGAACTAACATCCTTCTGGTGCAGCGAATGCACATACAACAATCACCAACATGAAAAAGATTATTGATACTCTCGCCATTTTTAGCAGCTTAGAGAAAAATATGCCAAACAAATTAACAGTTTCTGCTGAATTACTATAGTACGTACTGATGCAAATGACAGGAAATGAATGACCATTTATACAAAATATTTGCACGACATCATCTATCTTGAAAAAATATTCAAACGAATCTATACTTCTGTCATTGAAAATATAAAAAAAATCACGAATCGTCACTTCGGCTTCATGATCCCTCCTGAAAATAAAATGATTCCCACTGAAAACTACAAATAAATAATCAAAGTTCAGTAAATTACTCCACTACTGCTAAATAATCTAAGTTTCACGATCAATTTTATTCCAAACTGGTCGGTTGCTAATTGAAATATTTTCAGAAGGGAACTCTACGAAGAGCAACGCATGTGTTACTTTTAGGTGCAGTTCAAGGGATTAATCGATAGCATATAATGATTGTTTTTTAGCAAATACACAGAGCAAGAGAGAGAGAGAGAGAAAATCTAGCCATGAAATGTTTACATTGTAAAAATGTGTGTCAAATAATAATTGTATTGCGACGTAATTAACTTTGGGGAAAAAATAAAGCTTGATTTAATCTATTTTGGTTCAGGCTACAGAACAGTTTAATCTTATAGACTGAATTGGCTATTGTTTTGAATACAACAAACTTGTGTCCATGGCCTACTCAAGGTTAAGGGCAAAATTTAATGAATGTTTCAATTGTACTGAAACTAAACAATAAAAATGATTGCAGTATGGAGGATATTGAAAGGTTTGAGATTTTATTTAACTTTTTCTACAAAATTTATTGTTCTATTAATGAATTTTAATCAAAATAATTCCATTGCCGATCGATTGAACTACTCTGTATATAATAGATTAGAGGTGCCGATTAAACCCCACTCACTCAAACTTAAATTTTATTAACTTTGCGCATTGATCGCATTTTGAAAAGTCGGTAAAGTTGCAGAGTTAAATGAACAAATAAGCCAAATGGAAACGAATCAATTGAAGTTGAATAATTATTTATTGAATTTATTTTCTGATTACAGTTTGTATAAGAGATTGTTAAAAATTGAAGAAGTGTTTGTTTGTAATTGATCAATTATTAAATTTGTGTTCATATTTGTCTCCACATTCGGGTGATTCTCTTTTCAAGCATTTACCATCCGAACGTAACCATCCATCTTGGCAAACACATCGTTGATGGCACATTAATATTTGAACGGGTGGACATCTTTCGCCTTTCATATTATTACACTGTGGTTCACACTGTGGTGCACAAGTGCTCCAGATTTCATTTTCACCGCATTGTTCTAAAGATCAAACCGAATTATTTAAATTGAAAATATTTTTTTTTTAACATTCAGATGAATAATAGAATTGATTATACTAACGTTCTTGTTCTTGGGCCGATGCACAAGCGATAAAAACCAATGCAAAAACGATTATTGTTATTTTGGACATTTTCGGTGCACAAATTAACGAACTTGAAAAATTGTTGAGTTTAGTGATGATTAAGCAAAACGTTATTACTTACTGACACAAAATGCAGTCGCACACTCACTATTTATACAAAAAAATTTCGCTGTGGTTCGTTAATATTTTGTGCCAAACACGTGAGCAGACGTCATTTTGGTTTGAAGCGGAATTTCCAGTGTATGATATATACAATGTATATGAACTATTCAATTCTTAGAATAAATGAAAAACATCGCAGTCACACTGAAATGTGAAATCAACAATTCTGTGAATTACTTTGCGATCTTTGAGAAATGCCGAAGACAATATTTGCACAAATTTTGGTAAATATCCATTTGAAAAGTCATTTGAGAAATTTAAACAATATTGATATTACAACAGGCTGTTCAAAATAACCACTGAACAGTGAATTTTGCGTAATTGATGTTTATTTTTGGGCACATATTTTTCTTTCCATATAAAATCATTGGATTTTGAGTGATTGCGATGAGATTGAATGGAAATAAAAAAAGCATAAAGATAAGAGGTAATAATTCGTGGGCAACAATCAGAGTATGACCATTGCCCTCAATGAGTTATGTACAAACCGATATCATTTTCATTTTATATAATTTTCAAACATCTTCAATTTACTCACATACATTTCCAATCACTTTCTCAAAGCTCTTTCACTCCTTGAATATTTTACGTGATATTATTGGTCGACGTTACGTGGTATTTTTTGATCACAATTCTATGAATTACGTTAAAATTGTGTGCTTTTTTTTCGTAGAGTTCTTCTTCATCGCCGCCATAGATTCGAAATAATTTCGAAAAGATTGGTCAACGGAACCAAGTAATATGTTAATATGACTATGCGTGTTGCTATGTAAACGATGTCTTGCAATGCCGTGAGCTTTGGTATTCCGAATTAGCGAGATGTTTGTAAACATAATTACTTTAGTAAATGTTATTTCTAATCTTTGGATTATTTGCCAATTCAAAAGGAATATGAAATAAGCAATTTAATTGCGATTTCGGTTTCATTTTCCAAAAAAGTGATCGGTTGTTGTTATTTCTTGATGTTTATAGCATTTTCCTAATTAGATAGGTGTGTATGCGAGCGCGAGTTTACATTGAATAAATTCAATTCGATGGATGGTTGGAATAACGAAAACAGGCATTTCATTTTATTTACAAAGAAACAAAAATGATAAATAATTGTGTGTCAATATGGAAATAAAATATAACTCAGTTCCAACAACTTGAACGCGGTGTATTGCATTCAAATCCGCAAATATTTAAAGCAGGCATTTTTTTTTACAAAAACAAAAACTTTCTATTTGTATTGCGATAAATACGAATATTCATCGTATGCTATGATGTAACTATATACACATACACACACATATTCAAAGTGTTTCGGCAAAAACACTAGTTCGTTCAATCCGACCCCGATATTGAACAATATTTGAACACAAATATGCCATAAAGTCGCACTCATTCATAAATCAAAAGATTCCAATTTCATTTTTACAAACTAAATAATAGTAAAAACAAAATATGTCTAAAACGTTTCATATAAATCGTTTCCGGATACTGTTCAATATTGAACAATTAACTTTTTGAGGTAAACATATTTTATTGAATTGCTTTGTGCAATTTTGTTCAAATCATGAAATCGATTTTTGCACGAATTCATATTTGAATTCGAGCGTCGCGTATTCAAGTTTCAACGAGGGAATTAGAGGTGCCTCAACAAATCAATTTACGTATTTTTTTTCGCGCCAAATATTTAATCGTTCTTTAATAGCCTCATGGTTTTTATTCCATTTTGAAATATGTCCACAACATTCAAACTTCCCCGCAATTCAATTTAAAAAAAAAATTAAATAAAAACAATGACGCAGCAACAAAGTTGGAACAAAGTTTATTTGATTCTAACGACTTCATAAAATTAAACAACAACGTAATGAATTCATTGCACGTTTCTCTTGTTTTTCATCACAAACAGATGTGATCGCGTTATAAAACTGATTTTTTTTTGTATATATATTTAAATGTCATGTGTAGAACATTTCACGTAGTGTATACTTGCGCTCATCTATTAGCAAACTTATTATGAATGACGTAATTTATTCGTTGATGGAAACGTTGATATGAGTATGATACAAACTTATAAATTGAATTTTTACATTGTTTGGACACTTTTTTTTTAATATTAATTTTTTTTTTTGTTATCGATATTTAAATGAAAATATCGTAAATTGATTACAAATAAGTTATTCAGCATATTACAGTCGTTAAATTCCCAATGTTCATGATGTGAAACCATTTTTTTAAAATACGACTTCGTACACACGATCAAATCATACACATTACAATTTCAAGAATTTTTTTATTTGAATACATTTTCAACATAATCTTGCGTAGTCTTTTTGATATTATCTGGATTTATGCAAATGTATTTACTGCAAAGTTTTGCAATGTTTTCGGTAAGACACTACTTTGAAACAACTGAGAAGTATCTGTTGTCAGAGCCATGTTTTGCTTATTCTTTTATGCAATAGAAGCCATTTGTAGCAACAATGTTTTTCACACAACTTGATTGATTTAAACCAGCACAAGCTTTTCGACACGAATTTCCACTTTCGACGAATTCTTCATTTGACCCACATTCAGAAGCGGAGCCTTCTAAAAAAAAGTCAACAAACAAAGTTTAGTGTTAACAAAAAAGATAAATAACCAGATTTTTAGCTCGTACATTCAAAAATCACAATAAGTAGCATAAGCGATAATAACTCTGCTGACAATAAGAGAACAATCGAAGGGAGACATTTTTATTAATCATCACGACTCTTTCGAATAAAGTGGAAGAAATGAAAAAAGTTCACGATATCTGATTTTTTATGGATCTTATAAGTATTTCGAATCGAAATTTCCTATACATTATTTGCAAGTAATATAAATTGAAACCTGTTCAGGTGTAACGTCTGGAAATATAACGCATTACCTTTTAATCAAAGTCCAATTAAAGAATCGTTACATAACTTTATGTGAGAGCGAAAGTATATTGATATAAGCACAAAAAAGAATGATTTTCAAAGAAAATTTATTCAAATTTTATTGTTTTACAACGAAATTGTTCCAAATTTAAAACAATTTATAAATCGTCCTTGTATTAAATCGTAAAAAATTATTGAAATTATACTTTAACTTGTAGCTAGTGTCGAATATTGGTCAAGAGTTCAATCTGCTTTATGCCGGTGCGAATATTGGTCAAGAGTTCAATCTGCTTTATGCCGGTGGATTTGCGTCCCAGTTCCGTCTTTCGGGTAGCATTTCATCTTGACACTCTTTAGAATCGATTTGAATGCATTTTTTATACAATTTCCTTCGATCAAAACCATCTTGACAGTAGCAAGCACTGGGTGCCACAAAATGGTTCACGCAGCATGGTTGCATCAAACCGACACAAGTCTTTTGACACGAAGTTCCTCCATTGATGAATTTTTCATTTAACCCACATTCAGTAGAAGAAGCATCTATAAAAGTTAATCAATTTCATTTGGGCATACAATTTAAATAAAGTCCGTGTATTTTTCTTACAATCAATCATTCCAAACAAAATTATGAACGCTAACACAAATATTGAAATGTTTAACATTATAATAGTATTATTAAATAAAGAGTCTTACGGGAGTAAGACGAACTTTTCCGCACGGTGGTACGTGGTAGTTGCGTATTTTATTAAGAAAGTTCAAAATAATATTTGTTCGATTTTTCAAGCCTTCCAGCGGCGTAAAGTTCGAGACCAAAAAATATGTTTCAACTTTGGCAACGAAATATTCTTTAATTTAATAGCAGAAGTAATCGCAAAAGATTTTTCACACTTTCATGATGAACCCATTTGTACGACATTTGAAAGTATTTTATTTTCTAATATAACACTATAATAAAAAAATATGTCTGACGTTAATTTTGCCATAGAAATTATTTTTGAAACACTTTTCATAACTAAAGTCACAAAAAATGTGGATTTTTGTATGGGAGCCATGTCTGTATGCTACCTTAATGGTGTGAAACTTTGCACAGGTTATTTTTTTCGCCAAAAAAAAAACATTCGGAGGGTTTGGAGAAATTTCAACCAAAATTAAGAGTACCTACTATACAAAATATTCGTTTTTGTATGGAAGGTACCCCTAATTTTGATTGAAATCTCTTCAAACTTTCAGAATGTTATTTTTTTGTGTAAAGAATAGTCTGTGCAAAGTTTAACGTCATTAAGGTAGCATACAGGCATGGCTCCCATACAAAAATTCAATTTTTTTGTGATTTTTTCAAGGAAACTGTATTAAAAATTGATTGTATCTCAAAACTAACCTCGGATCTGGTTTTATCGTGCCGAAAAACCCCCCAATACATATTTTTGATTGTTTAAGTCTACATTAAGTATGGCTTTTGGACGAAAATTGGACTCTTTTTCATAGGTATCACTCCAGGCATGACATTTTTTTCATCAACCAAAGTCGCTCAAAAGCTAATGATTTCTATTCCTCGCGACCCCCAATCATCCTGTACAATCAGATTTTGAATTAAGTTTCTACGATGAGCGCAATCTTGCTAACAATTTTTCCGTACGACGTACAACGTACGACGTACAGATTAACAAAAACCATGTTTAAAAACGCCAAATTCGAGTTCTCTGGCCTCAATAATAGGTAGAAAACATGTTTCTGAAGTTTTCAAAATTTTGACCGATTACAATACTTTTCACTATGTGTGCGGAAAAGTAAAAAAACGACTAACTCATAACAAATCAAATATTTCACTGTGATGACAAAATGGTAAAATGATCATAGAAGTGGGGGGATATCAAAATTGCAATCATCTTTTTACAGAGGCTGAAGAAAAAAAAAAACAAGATGAAAACATTGATTTGATAATTTTTCTATTTATAACACATCAAATTAAAATGATGATGTTTTTAAATTGTCCTTGAATTGGTTGAATGTATTTTTTATGATAACGACTTAAAATTGCTATCAACTTTTTGATTGAGCTGACCAATTATACTTACCTAATGACAAATGTCATATCCAAATAAATCATCTTTTTAGTGCTATTTCTCAAATACAAAAATCTTGCGAAAGATGAGACTATAACCAAATGTGCATTATTATTAATATATGGTTTTTCTTTGCAAAAATTTCTGTATGATTTAATAGTGATAACATTTTGAAAGTCACGCAAAAGCAACCAACCGGTCGGAATTTTGAAATTTGTTCACAAAATGAACCTGTTGAAATGACATTTTGATGAAAAAAAAGAGAAATACAATTAAATTCATCTTACGTGATCATCGTTTAATGTTTAACTATACACCACATGGCAATTTGAGTGCGATAAACTTTTCATTGTCGGAATAATTGTGTTCGTGTTCGTGTTCGTTGATATGATTGTTTTTAAAACGAGAAGCACTCAATTTGTACTGAATTTGTGTTCAGTTAAAAACAATGGATTGTGTGTAAATGTGTGTGCGCCGAAACAAATCGAACTTTAATCCATATATGAAGCACATACGATGCGATAAAATCATTTTTGGGCTTAACCAACAGACACAAGACACCGTGGCAACGTGCTTCATTCACGTGCTCAAAAACGATCTCTTGATTAGGATAAAGTGTTCAATTCCATGCATACAGATTCCTGTATTATGGCACATTCATACTAATAATATTTGTCACCGTAAAACATTTCAACGGTTTTATTTTCATGTGGATTGGAATTTCGAAAAAAGGCAAAACGATGTAATATACTCTTGCACGTAATTTTCTACGGCAAAAGAGATTCAAAATGCATTCATTTCGCCTCTTCATCGCTTTACTTTTGCCCTTTATACGACAAATAGTGAGCGAATTCTAACGCATTGCGAATCGTTTTTATCATTGAAATTGGCGTGCACGACTATATTTTGGTAGCACTTCTATGTTTTCTCCCATTTTTACCGCTGTAATGTGTGTGCGCGCACATTTTTTTTCGAATTGAAGTTAGATTATTATAGTTCTAACGTTTTCGATTTTCACATGTCGATGCATGTATCCTTACCAATTGTTTCATATGCACTACAAGCCAAAGGCAAACTGAACAAGTACTCTCATAAACCAAGCCCATTTAAAAAGTCATTACTATCAATTACCATTAAGAGCGCGAACGCGAGGTTGAAAACAAAATTTTATGCGTTTTTTTCTCTCTTCATATCTCTTCTGCGCTCTGTCGAACTACACACACAAGCGCGCACACACACACCATATGTATTCGTCTATATTTTCCTCTAGTGCACTTCTTTTACCATTATTATTACAGTTATTATTCCTGACGATGTGGTGAAATTTCTCTACCTCTAAAAAAAGGGAACAAGTTGAAGGTAAAAACAAACCATCCGCAGAAGAATTTATGAATTAGGTTGAGTTTTTTGTCTCTCACTTTCTCACGTTATGTTGCATATAACATGCACGTACCGCACATAGACAATGTAAAATCAAACAAACGCCGAGTGTCTTTAATTGCATTTGAATGCATATGGTGATAATAGTAACGACAACGGTGGCGACATGAAATTTCAATAGGATATAACGTTGTGTTTTTGTTAGCAATGATGTTATTGCATTCTATTTTAATCAGAATAAAATGTCAATGGTTTTGCGAATATTTCACAAGTTTTTGGCATTCATCGTATAATTTATATGGGAAATAGCATTGAATAGACATCACAGACACCGCATTTCGATTCGTAGAAATGTGTTCTCGATACGGGTATTAATCAAGTGTCATTTTTACCTTGTATTTTTACCTGATTTTAATTAGCAAATAAACACGGGCTTTATTTTAATGATGCACTCTTTATTGATTTATTTGTGATTTCAAAATATGTTTTTGGATATGACATCTGGTGGCGGGCATGTTCTGAGAAAAGAATTGAAAGTTTCCCAAATTTTTTTTTTTTCAAAAATAAAAAAAAAAATAAAAAAAGAAAAGGTATGAAAGACCTTTCTTTTATGAAAGAAAAATGGCCGACATTTTAAAAATTCTTCTACACAGGTTTAGTCTCCGATCGGTGAAACGACGTCCACATTCAAATTTGAGACAATATTCAATTTGTGTGGGACAAAAATCTCAGTTTTTTAATTCATTCAGTTTATTTCTGTCCATTATTATGATCCGTAGTGAATCTGTAGAATCAATCGTTTTTTATATAGAAAAATATCGATATTCCAATGAACCAATCCGACGAAATTTTATACTGCGCCCGAAGAGTTAACAGCGGGAAACTGAAATTAGACCCTAATTCTCTGAAAACAGTTTACTTCAGCCCATTATTACGCTCATGAATCTGTAGATGCAAAATGTCGGAGGACCTATTTCGTGGAAATTTTGTACTACACCCAAAGAGTTAGCAAGCGGGAAATTGAGATTGGACCTTAATTCACTAAATTTAGTCATAATTCAGGCCATTTTCAGGCTCTATGGAAAATCAATCCTTTTTCATATTGAAAAATATCGATATTTCAATGATCGATTCCGGCGAACTTTTGTACTACACCCAAAGAGTTAGCAAGCATTATTACGCTCCGTAACGAATCTTTAATGTTGCTGCCCTGGACAGTGTGAGCATTTCTACTAAACCCTATCACGGAAAAAGTGAATTTTGTAACAAGATAATTTCAATTCTTATGGTTAAATAGATAAATATTGGGCCCCTTGGACCTCTGTGCAGAAGCTATGCTAATGAATCAATGTAGCTTTGAATTTTATTACAAATTTACCTATTTCAATCGAATCCTGTGAAAAATGTGAATTTTAAAATGAAAAGTAATAAGAAGAAAATTTATTTTTTCACGAGAAATTATGAAAAATTCCCGTCATTTGCTTTATTGGTTTAAAGTGAATTTGCATTTTTAAAAAAATGAAAAGAGAGAAAGATGATCCAATATTCCGTTTGTCAATTTACATATTTAGTTCACAGAATTGTTTAGAGTAAGTTGTGGTGCGTGTGTTCATTTTTTTCTTTATCAAAGGACGAATCTTTTACAAAATTCAACATCATATAATAGTATTTCTGTTTTGACAAAATTCTATTATCATACATGAATCAGGGATTGTTCCTCTGTGGAGGAGGAAATTGAGGGGGGGAGGAGAATCCTCCTCGCTCTCATTTTCCTCCTCGCCATTCCTCTTCCTCAGAGGAACAATTCCTGATATGAATGCTTCTGAAATGCTTATAAATTTAATAGGTTTTGAGAAAACTCTAATTTTTTTTTTGTCAAATGTTAATTCTATCAATCAATTGTGTAAGTTAAGGCAATCAAAACATTTTTCTTCAGCTTTCCAAGAATTTGTTTGTTAATTCATTTCGAAAAAATCAAAGTGTAAGTAGGCCAAAACAAATATCAGCGCCCATATCACTTTCTTCTCTCTGTCGACAAAGTATTACTTACATTCTTTATCGAAACAAAAAGTTCTCTTTTTTTTTGCATTAAATTATTTAGCAATAGCATATCAAATGTTCTTCTTCTTTTTTGTTTATACAAAAGAAAGAAAAAAAAAAGTTTCATAAATTATACAGATTACATAGTATTTTCAATAAATATATTCTTTACATATACATACCAATCGATTAGAAAGTAAAAAAAAAAACAAATTCATATTCTTAACAACAATATACGAAAATTGGAACCGAACAGAAAAAACTGAACTGTTTTGATTCGAGAAAAAGAAGTAGAATTTCTATTGAATGAAACCTGAAGTGCTGCATACGTACATACAAACAAAAATCATTATCTGTCACATCTGTCACATTGATTCTAGTTCAAAAATCATTATTTTTTACCAGGAACCAACCAAGAACAAACTCATTTCTATCTTCGCAGTTTACTGTTATTTTTTTTTTTTTGAACTTTTATTTCGTGGACGCTTGTTGTATATGTGTATTTTGTATGTATGTGTGTATATTCCCTCTTAAATTCTCAGTTGGAATCGTCATTGTTCGTTATTGTTGTCTGAATATTTGCGTTGTCCGCATTTGAATTGAATGCCATTTCAGTATTTGATGTATCAATAGCATTCGTTCGACTTGTTGATGCAGATGAAGATTGGCCTAGTTCAGGTGCTGTTTGTGCAGCATGTAATGAAAATCGGTTTGATTCTCTTAATTCTGTACAAATGCCAATATCTGTATTCGTTAAACTAAAATCATTTCTATCACCCTGTATCCAACTATGACCTTTCGCTGAAAAGTCGTCTAAAGTATCTTGGTGGCCACATAGTTCGGCCCGATACGCTGTGAGCCCATTGTTTAGCTGAGAATGCAGCTCATCACTGTTGATTTGTTTCGTTGGATTTGTTTCACCCAATGTACACTGTGTTGCGGCGGAATCTGTTAAATATTCCATACCATATTTTGCTGGTGTATTGCACGATTCCATGTTACCATTTGATCGAGGGGCAATTGATTGTATTTGAATATTATTATAATCATGTGAAGTTTTTTCATTTTCTTCTTGATCTTGTTTCGGTCGTTCGTCGAACATTTTCGCAACATATTCACTCGTATCGAATGCAACATTGCTATCAATTGGTAATTTATTATTTTCCTTTACGTTGACATCATCATTTGCATCAATTATATCAAAATCATCGGCGGCTAATGTTTCTAATCTATGCTCTAAATTTTCATTTATTTTCGTATCGCTGCTCAATTTTGTCTGTATCTGACAATCGGCTTCATTGACAAAAGCCTCACGGTGAATCGATTCATCAGTTGTTATGTGATTATTCACATTGCATCGGTCGGTTGATGTTTCAGGCAATAATGTTGGTGTGGCTGCCGATGCTACCGTCGATGACGATGACGACGATGATGTTTCGGTCACCGAACCACCGTTGGCCGTGTCGTCTCTATCGATGTGAATATTTTCACTGCCAATGGCCGGATTAATTTGGATTGGATTAATTTGTATGCCAGCCAAATTAATACGTCGCAATCGGCTCAAGTTAATGCGTAATCGTGTGATGTTTGCCATCGGATTATGATTGTTATTATTTAAGCTGTTGTCGTTATTATTGTTGAAAAATGCGGCCGTACCAAGCATATCATTTGCAAGCCGACCTTGAATCATACCGAACAAATTTGATGCATAGTTGAATATTGCCGATGCCATTTGAAAGCTCAATATAAATGAAATCGTTGTGAGCAAATTGCCATTTCGATGGTTATTATTATTAGGATTGTTGCCATTATTGTTCATTTGATTGTTGTTTCCCATTGGATCGTTATTCGCTTGATTTGATGCTGCATTCGAACCATTTCTTATGTTCGATGAATTGTTTGCTGCTGCACCGTGTGCACCATTTCCATTTTGTTGTTGATGCCTTTGACGTGTACGAAGCCGAAGTATTTGCTGCACTTGCGCTTGGCTTATAATCACAGGCAATTCATAGTGATGGAAGAAATAGATCATTGAATGCTAGATTGAGTGGACAGGAAGAAAAAAGAACAATGAAATTCACAATTAAATTGACATTATTTGAAAATATGCTACACTATTAAATAGACAAAAGCTGATGATATCGATATGGGTTTCAAAAACAGAAATTTACATTTTCATTCATCACCAAATATGCATAGAGTGGAAGTCATTTCAATAGCTTATTTATGCATACAAAAAAAGGAACAATTTTTCAAATTACGTAACAAACATATTGAATAATTAATTGGCACGGAATTTTAAAGTTATTTAAATGTGAACTGAATAGAAATTCCCTTGTTTTTGTCATACGCAATTAACGTGATATGTAAGGTGTAAGCAAAGATTCAATTCAAAATGACGTAATAAATTGTTTCCAATTCAAATCTTATAATTATTAAAATATGGCGTCGTAAAAACTGTCTGTTTAAGAACTGTGTTCCCATTTTTCCATTGGCATTTCAAATATAATTGCTCATCTATTCGATATTTAATAGAGATTGGAGCAACAACGGATTGAAAATAGATGATGGAAGATGAAGGGCGAATGAACAAATTGTTTTCTCATTATTTAATAAACATGCCAGGTGAACGAAACGGTCGTCCGTTTTGCTCAAACTGTTTTCATAACTGAATTGCTGAAGCGTATCAAACGTATTTCATCTATTGAATGAATTATATATAAGCATTTTAGATTGTAGATTTTCCCATTGCTGTTGATGCTGCTACAACAACAACAATAACAACGACAATTACTACAATTCAGATGCACCAAGGAAACACAATTCTCTTTGTCACAAAAATGTCTGCCATTCTTTTTGAAATGGCCGGACAGTTTTCTTGTTTTGATGAGAGTGAACGCTTTTTCTAGCTCGCTCTCTCCCTCTCTATTCCATTTTCTTTGTCCGTTTATACATTAAAATGAAATCACAATGTTGCAGCTCCAACTGTTGCTAGGTCACGTGAATTAATTACAGAGCACACGTGAAATTTTACCAAAGAGACATATCCACGTGATCCAATTGCTCGCATGCACATTCAACATGTCAAATCCGATTGGGTGAAAATCATTACATTTGTACTAAACCGATTTCAACTGAAAATGATTTTTGTTTTGATTTTATATTCGCTGTTGTTGCACAAAAGAAATGTTTGTGCTTTTATGTTTTCAATTTTATTTGCTTTAATAAATCACAATGGCTAATCAATTTGATTTAAATATGAATGTTCAGTTCAATTGAAATTTATTTTAATTTTATTTATTGTTTAATTTTCGAACGAAAAAAAAAATCTATTTTTTTGGAAAATGACCACCCTTCAATGCATATCATATGAAATTGACTTGTCGAACAATACATGCTAAAAAATTGAATTCCAATTTTACCTGGATAAAAAGCCATGATGTAGTCAGTGCCAAACTGCTGTATTGCCCATTGAATCGGTAGTGATACGCATAAAAGGAAAAGTGATACAGGTAGAAAAATCTGCGAGGAAAAAAGAAGAAAAACATACAAAATTGGTAAGTGAAAGTAAACAAATGATATTCAGAATAATAAAGACGATTTTTTTACATAAAATTTTCATAGTCTCATTGTTATGGCATCCGTTTTCAAATTAGACATTTTATATAGATGTTGTAATTGTATTCACTCAATTTGAATGGGTTTTTTCGTTAAGGAAAATGTTTTCGATTTTTTTTTGTTCGATATCAGTCTTAGAAGTTTGCCATTTTGCTATGCAAACATATTCATGGTTGTTATTTTTTTTATCTATCGGTGTATGTAAATGTTATTTTTTTTGTCAATGCTTTCTTCTTTTGCGTTATCATATCGTGCAATAGATACACATCCATTTTGCTTGGATGACAAATAGTTGAACTGTTTTGTATCTGGTATTTGTGTCATTGTGTGCGTTTGAATGATTTTCTACGAACATTGGTAATTGGATAGTTTGTACCGTGAAGTACGCTGTTTGATGTAACGTGTATATTTTGTTCTCAATACTTCTTGTTAAAAAGAGAGAGAGAGAGAGAGAGAGAGAGAGAGAGAGAGAATCTATATGTATAATGTTGTGTTTGTGTCATTTAAACTAGCACCATCAACTGTGGTGCCCATCAAATTGAGACTGACACACGTTCATCGAAGTAAATAAATATTTTTGTATGTATGCGCTGAGTTTGCATGAGTTTAGTGAGTCTCAATCGTTTGCCGCATTTTGTCCATCAATAGTTTGTAATTTAAAACGTTATTGGTTGCCAGCGTGTCTATATATGTGTGTGTGTTTGAATGCGATCCGTTTTCACTCATTTATTATGAGTGCAAATATATTTTTTTTTCTCGTTTGCCCCTCTGTTTTCAATTACATAAATTCAATGGCTGGCGATTGTCGCCACCAATAGCAGCCAAGTTGACACTTGATGTTTATGAATTGAGTGATGTTTGGCATTCGTCATTTAATCTATCTAAAGTGATCAAATTTAATTTAGAATTGATATTAAGAAATCGCACTTGGACAATGGAGTGGCTCCACTCTGAATGAAATAAGAAATGTGTAATGGGGAGGCGGGGGCGATGTGCTGTATTGAAAAAAACTAGGTGTGAACTCTGAGATATTAAGCAATCAAATTCAATTTTTCTTTTCCGTTTATGCGCTCGATTCGATTAAAGTTAATCGACGATATTCTTAGTCTGCATAAAGAGCGTGTCTCTTTGCTCTATTTCTCTTTCTTAATCTCTCTGTGCCTTGGTCGGAGTGTCGTTTGGCAGACGTATCCGACAAATGAAATGCAACCAAAGAAAGGGAAAGAGAAATGTGTGCCTTCTATTTGCACAAGCCAAGTGTAATAAGCAATAAATTTTGCTCATAAATCAATTAATGAGTTTTTGTTATTGTTGGTGCGATTGTTATGTTGGTTTTCATTCGGTGAACGGACCAAATTAGTTCGGAAAATGTAAACGAAAATAAAGCGGCATTGCTGTGTATTGTCGTTAATGACTTTATACTTTTGTGCGAGTTTTTGCCAAATGTGAATCAACAGTGCACCACAGTCCGTTGTGCCGAACACCACATCTTTACAATGTGAACGCATTGAACACAAGTATTCCATTCCATCGACTACACTATAAAAAATTGTGGCCACAATGCATGCACACACTTAATATTGCCACATACACACGATTTTATGTGCTGAAAAGAGAATAATCGAACAGGATCAAACAAGCTGAGAGAGAAAAGAGAGGTGGAGGGAAGAGTAGGACGAAAAAAATCTGAAGAAAATACATATATATATATACAGTTTTATTCATTCTAAAATGAAAATTTCATCAGAGCCACTATTCATCATCAATTGATAAATAGGTCTTTGCCAACAGTTTTACGCTTACATTGTGCATATGCTAGTTGCTACAATAAATATGTGTAAATAAAAACAATAGGGGTTTTTTCGCTTTTGGAAATTATAAAGTCCATACAGTACACAGTACAATGTCCACAGCGTCAACATCATTGCTCACGGCACGAAACAATAAAGGAATATCGACCACTTTGGTGTACAACACACCCAGCATTGGGAACGAAAAACGCCACTTAATAATGGCATTATGTAAATAAAGAAGAAGAGTGAGAGACATTTTTTTTTTTTTTTTTGATAAACATGGGAATGCTTCAAGACGAGACTTCACAATGAACTACGGTGAGTAAACAACTACAAAATGTTATGCTTGTGTGTATATGTTGAACAAAATAGCATTACTGACGGAACGAAAAAATATTTGCAGTCATTGGCATAGCGACCGATCATTTCAATAATAAGCCATTTCTTAGCTCCGTGGAGCCGAAGCGGGTATTATATGATATATTTTTCTATCGCAAATATCGTTCATTCGGCCCGGTTTGCTTTGTATTTGTATTCGTGCTTGATGTACAGAGTCACATCATCAGAATCAATAACATAAATTCATGTGCATAAAATTAAAATCTATAAGTGTCAATACGAAGCACTGTGATAACATAATGATTGGCGAAAAAAAAGAAACATTTACAAATTTGACCATCTAAATGGGGGGAGTCGAATGCCTTGATTGGCCAAAAAACAAGAAAGTTTTTACGTTCTTTTTTCACACTTTGTCTATTATGATCTTTTTTTTCGGGGATTTGTCACGAAAGAAGTTTTTAATAATTTGAAAGATTTCATACCGATGTTTTGACATCCATACAATTGACAAGAAATTGATGCCATGTAAAGAGAAAAAAGTCGATCAAATCTTTTAAAAAAGAGATTCATTGTCTTTATTTTTTTTATACACATACATTGTATATTTTTTACTTGTTCAATGCTCCCATTCAAGCATACAGCGAAAACAATTCCGTTTCTCATTATTTTTATGTGAATTTTGAAATAAAAATCAATGGAAAGTTATGCGTTCGGCAGTGAATTTATTTGAACAGACCGTTGCCGTTGCCGTTGTCGTTGTCGTCATCGTTGTCGACGTTGTTCGATAGAAATCGACAACTATTTGTGTTGCGAAGGCAATTTATTTTTATTGGAACCCCCACCGAACACGGCTGACTGACTAATCTTGTTGGCGACATAATCATTTTTGTTTCATTCAGCTGTAAACACTGGGCTCACATTCATTCCGCTCGCTCATCCTCATTGCTTGAAGGGACGCTACTTCTATTTCGCTTTCAGCAGTGCATCTTGTGTCTCAGTCTCAGTCATTTCAACATTTTGCCAATCCCATTTTGAGTGTGTGTACACGCGCGCGCCTCTGTATCTTTCCTGTCATTTCAATTTTGTGCATGTCATTGGCATAGAATATTGAATAGTGATGGAAACCGAAACGATATACAAGTATTTTGAAAATAAAACGTAGTAGAAAAATAACGGCCAACAACCATAAGAGGACAAGCAATACAAAAGGAAAGAGAAAGCAAAATAGAAATAAGGATCACAAAAATAAGCGCATAAGAAAGCAAGCAAACTGTAGCGAATGAAGAATTAGAAACGATGACAAAAAAAAATATTGAAGAAATCTAAATAAGTTGCTGCAAGATGTGAAACAATCCATACCACTTGCTTATATCCCACCCACTTGCTTAAAATGAACTTATTATAACATGAGTACTGGAAGAAGTTCAACGTTATTACCCTCCTGGTATAGTCGACGCTGAGGTGACAAAATATATATATACACATACACAAATACTCACACGACAAACAATTAACTGGTTTCGCATTAGATACAAAACAAACACTTGATTCACACACACCATTCCGTTGATACCACTGACTCAAGTCCAAAATCTCAGATATACATAGTAATGCGCAATTGTAAAGAATGTGCATCTATTAGATACTGTGCATATTATGTTGCAATAAGAATACGGACCACCAGCCACTTTGCGCTGTATTTTTCGTCCCTTTTTTGCTTTCGATTAGTCAATTACAATAAGATTCACATGAAATATGACCAAACATTCCGACAAAATCTTCTATATTTTGTGTGGGTTTCTTAGCGAAATACAAATCATCAAACTCCATGCATACATGAATACTGCTGGCTACCGAGCAGTTCATTTGTTTGCGCGTTGCTGGCATCTGAAATATTGAAATTGATTTCAGACAACAGAGCAAGTGTGTAACCTCATGGTTCAGTCAAAAATGATTTTAGCGACACATACACCACAGGGAAATTTCCAAAGAAAAACGTCGCTCCACCATCATCACCAACAACAATTGCTACTAAATCAGCATGCTTTAACAGCATATTTATGTCAAATCAATTATTTCGTGTGCTTTCTCTCTTTTTTTTCTCTTTTTTTTTTGAAACAGCCAAATTATGTTGAGACTGTTGAGTATCGACACACACTCGTTTGCACGAAACTCTCCACCGCAACATTTAATTTCATGCAACACATGCTTGTGGAATTGGCAGTTTAGAGTGACTTACTTCATTCGAACATGAAATTTTCATTTTGTACATGTAATGACGTGTTAATTATATCTAAAACCATTGCTTTATTATATACATCTATTATCACGTTATGTTATATTTAAAATACAATGACTTTAAGTTTCAAGCATCAATCGACCAAACTAATAAATGTGCTTCTAGTTCCATTTTTCGCATTATTTTAGAGCGTATAAACTGATGAAAGTAAATTATCGATTTGAAAAAAATCATTTCTTAAATGTTTTTAACATTACCACAAGTTTATAAAGTTTCGTTGACATAAACATTGCGAAACAAAATGAAATACACATTTAAAAAAAAAAACAGCGTTCGCAACGAAATGACTGACAACATATTCGACAGCTTAAACGCTTTCTGTCGAAAATCCCGATAAACTGTCAGCGAATGAAATTACAAACTGATTATTGACCTTTATGTTAACATGTTGTGTATATCAATCAAAAAGAGAGGCGTTTACCCTACAACGTGCACGATAGAAAAGTGTCATTTTTCATGTTGGCCGTATGAAT